CCAAATAGTGTTTTAGGAAGTCCACAATAGTGTTAAGTGGACCGAAGCCTCAAGATTAAGAAGGCTCCCAATCCTCCTCCATGGAAGAAGACCTATCCACAGCAACCTCAACCAGCCAACAGGAATCTGACTGATGTGTTATCACCAAGATTGTGAAGAAGGCATCATAAATCATATGTAAAGACTTGTACTAGAAGAAGACCAAAGATACTACTTAAACATGTAACAGCTAAGAATTAATTTGGGCTTTTTTTGAAACAAGATAGCAATAAGACAAAGGTTGTATAACGAAGATATTTTCTTCTAAAACGATTATTGGATCATGTCTCAGTCTTAAAGAAGAGCCTCTGAGCATTTATTTTTTTATCATGGAACAAATGTTCCAGTCCAGTAGAAATCACCATGAACACATATAGACAGAACAGAATACGGAATAGCAGAGTTGGGAGGGACTTTGGAGGTCTTCTAGTCCAACCCTCTGCTCAAGCAGGAGACCCTGTACCAGACAGATGGCTATCAATCACTTCTTTAAAAACGTCCAGTAACGCAGGCAAGCCTTTCTCTTCATTAATTGTTCTCACTGTCAGGAAATTTCTCCTTAGTTCTAGGTTGGATCTCTCCTTGATAAATTTCTTGTGCTGCTCTCAAGGGCTTTGTAGAATAGGTTGACCACTCTTCTCTGCGGCAGCTCCTCCTCTTACGTCACCCCTGGTTCATTACGCTTCATTCGACTAGATACGCCCAGCTCCCGCAACCCTTCTTCATATGTCTTAGCCTCCCATCCCTTAATCATCTTTGTTGCTCTTCTCTGAGCCCTTCCTAGAGTCTCAACAACTTTTTTGCATCACGGTGACCGAACTGGACACACTATTTCAAATGTGATCTTATCAAAACAGTGCAAAGCAGCCCTTAGCACTTCATGTGACCTTGATACCACCCCACTGTTGATGCAGCCATTGGTCTTGTTGGCAGCTGCAGCTCATACCAAGGCGGTGGTCCACGAGGGTCGTTAGGAGCCTTTCACAGGGACTAATGTTGACCCAAGAACCATCTATTCTGTATCTGTGGATCTGGTTTTTCTTGCCTAAGGCTAAAGTCTTACTTTTTTTCACCATTGCATTTCATTTTGTTAGATGGGCTCCAGTGTTCAAGTCTGTCAAGATCAATCTGGATCTTGAGTCTATTTTGTGAATCTGTTAGCTTGGTGTTGTCTCCAAATTTTATGACTTCCCTTTCTATTCCTTCATCTAATATCCGATGTAGTCTGCATAGTCAACATAGACTTAATATGGAGAGCTATATCTGACAAGATTCTACATAGTAAGCTGCAAATTAATCCTGGGTGTAGCTTTTTGCTGCTGCAGTATTGTAAAAATGTGCATCCCAAGCATACATTCTCATAAATCCCAAGCATACATTCTCATAAATTTTTATTGAAAGTATGGATAATTATATCTATGGGTAACTAAATATAAAAATGCTTGTAGGTATTGTTACCTGCTGTTGGGCACATGCACACACACAATACATGCAGACCCCTGAGTGATGTATTATTGCTGAGTCATTCTTTTTGACATCCAAAGGGGCTGATGGAATCCATGCAACTGCTATGTGAATGTAAAGACATGGCTCACCTGGGCCTCTCCCAGGCTAAAGCACGCAAAACAAGAAAGGGGTCAGGGCAGAAACCACTCTAGAGAGGCAGGACAAACATCCTGTCATTTGTGCACAGCTCTCTGAATTTTGTTGAATGACTGAGAACTGCCGGGCAACTACCTGTCTTATTTCAAGGACAGAAAGTTTTCAATACAAACACAGAAAGTAACTTGGCTCTATAGCAAAACTGTTGGGATTGTATACCCAGCTATGAGGATAAGAAGACTAGCTTCATATTGCTAGAGGTAGATTCTCAGAGCTATTAAATGCTGATTATGAAATGTCTGGTTAACTGAGTTACTTCCTGCTGAATAAGTGGAGACTCTATGAGAAATATAAGGCATCTGGTTTAAGAGTTACTATTTTTTTCTTCTTCATCAAGTGTTTGGCTAATATGAGACCCTAAAAAAGAATAAGAAATAAAAAATAAAAAATATTTCTGCTCAATCGAAAGAAAGAATTAGAACTCTTTTGAAGAGAAGACGGAGGCAGGCGCATATCAACACACTTTCAAGTACCTGAAGGGAAGTCGAAGAAAAAAAGTTCTCCAGACTGCAGGATGCAGGATAATGGATTTTATTGTTGGATTTTGAATGATTATTAGGAGGGAATGGGTGGCCTCCTCCCCTGTGCGGATGCTGCGCTTGAGCCTCGGAGCGTGGCGTCTGCGGGGGATTTGCCTTCTTCTTCGCGCGGCACAGAAGAGCCGATGTCATTTTCTGCTGACTCAAGGGAGGGGAGGGGAGGGGGCGGGGCTGAGGTTGAGAAGCCGCAGACCCCGACCAGCTCAGCCCAGCCGTGGAAGCTTCCAGGGCAGCTTCGGGGGAGAGGAATGGGTCCTGATCTCTCAGACCAACATAGAAGGCCGCGGGGGCGGGGGCCAGGTGGGAGGGGAGGGCGACCTCTCCAGAACCACCTTGAGCTCCCCAGGAGAGACGCAAGAGGGGCGACCTTCCCCTCCGCCTCTTCTTCCAGCCCGAGGGCTCCTCTCCGGGATTGGGGGTTCTGCCCTGAGCAGCGGGTGGGACTGGATTGCCTGGAGGAGCCCCTTTGATCCTTCTGAGGGCGACTGGTTGGCAGGCCTGACCAGAGCCCCCAAAGGCGGCCTGGAAGCCCCAAACGCCGCGACGGCTCCGCCCGAGGGATTTCCCGGAGGAGGTCAGGGAGAAACCGAGCGCCTCTTCGGCCCGCTTGCTCCTCCGGGGAGAGGAAAGGCGCCGCTGCACTGCAGCACTTTCGCCCGAGGCCGCCGCCGCCGCTGCACCAGGCGGAGCCAGCCCACCTCTCCGGCTTCCCGGCGCAGAGCCGGAAACTTCCCTGGCCGGCTGGAAGGGGCCGGGAAGGTCCTCTCCTTCGCCGGGACCCTTGCTCGGAGGCGGGGGCAGGAGCGGCCGCCGTTGGCGACTCTCAGCCTAGCGCTCCTCAGCCCGGAGGCCCGGCCGGCCGGCCGGCCGCTCTCCCTTCCCGGGGACCCGCCTCTTGCCTCGCCGTTGGCTCGGAGGCGCCGAGCGCGGCTGGTAGCCGGCGGCGCCGCGGGATTCCAGCGTCTGTTCCGAGTCCCGCCGTTCAGCCGCGGCCAGCTGGCGCCCCTCCGCCCGCCGAGACGCTGCGGGGCAGGCGCTTCCCCCCGCGGCTCCCTCGGGAAGCGAGCGTGGCCCCGGGCGGCTTGCGCGGTCTTGGGAGCAGCCCCGGCGGCCCAGAGTCCCCGGGAGCCCCTGCGGGGAGAGGCGCCCGCCCGGGACGCCCCGCCGGACGGCCTCTTCCCGGCGCCGCAGCGGCCGCCGGCCCCTGTCCCAGGTGCTGAAAGCGCCCGGCGCCCGCCCGCCCGACGGCTTACCGCGCTCCAGGCTGTGACGCAGCGCCTCCCGCTCCGGCTCAGTCCCGATCTCCCCGATCACCGCCAGCAGCGCGTGCCGCCGCCCGCCGCCGCCGCCGCCCGGCGCCTCCATAGCCGCCGCCGTCCACGACTCGCGCTGAGCAGAGGCCGCGGGAGCCGGCTCTTAAAAGCGCTCGGCCGCGCGCAGCTTGGCCCTTCCCCGCGCACGAGGGGCGGCTGCCCGGGCGGCGGCACGTGGCCGGGCGAGCTCGGCGAGCGGGGGGTCCGCGCCGCCACTGCGACACTCGCCCGCCGCCCGCGCCGCCCTTGCTCCGGGGGGGGGGGGCGCGCTGAAGGGTTGTCTGCGACGGGCGGGGCGCCCCGTCTTCGTTTCCCAGGGGCGCGTCGTCGGCGTCTTCTGGCCGTCTCCTTGGGCGGCTCGGTTGGAAGAGCTAAAAGCGGCGAGGGAGCGGGCCCGCAGGAAGAATCGGTATTTTCTTGCAAGGAGAGTAAATGAAACGAGTCCAGAATCCCAGTAAAGCACAGCAGGGTAGGAAACGATTCCACATCCGGAGGAGTTTGTAAGCAAACTGAAGCAGCTGCCCGCTTAGCCCAAAGTCAAGCCTGACTTGTGAGAAGCAGTCCTCCCAACCCCAACCCTTGGGCGGCCCGCTTCTGAGAGCCACCTTTATGCCTTCCCCTCCACTCCCCGAACAGCAGCAGGTCCCCTTCTCCCCTTCTAAGAGCTGCATCACAAGGGCCTCCTGAAACCCAGGCGGGCCTGACTGGCAGGGTTCTCTCCCGCCAGGAACCCCTTCCCAGTCTCCAAAAAAGAAGCAGGCAACAGCCAAAAGGCCGCGGCCAGAGCGGAGCAGGGATCTGGGTCTTGCACCGTTGTCTGCTTTGGGGCGGGGGGGTCTCTCCACCTCCCACTCCGGAAGACAGGGGCGACCTCAGTCCGGTCTGCCCAAAGCGAGCTGAGCCCAAAAGAACCCAAGAGGCCAAAGGCAGCCCTCGGAAGCCAAGGCAGCTGGGCGAGTGGGCGGGAGCGGGCAGCGCCCCCGTGGACCCAGGCAGGGCTCAGGCCGGGAGTCCGTTCTAGCCGGCCTCCCTCAGGCCCCCGGGCTACCTGCCTGGAACCAACGGTCAAACCACCACCGCCTTCATCTCGCCCTCGGTTTGAAAAGGGGGCGACACGTTGGGCCAGCATCGCGCCCTCCTCTCCGAACTCCCACTTCAGAGGAGCGCCGCCGGTGGCGACGGGCCCAGCGAGCGAAGCCCCCGGGGGCCCCGGGCGAATTCCGAGCCTGCAGGTGAGAGGACCGGGAAGGCCCCGCCCACGGAACGCCCCGCCCCGCCCCGCCCCGCCCCTGCTAAACGGCCCAGGACGCGGAGGCGTGGCGCCAGCGGGGCCCTGCTGCGCCTGCGCACGTGCCCACAGGGAAGGCGCCCATGCATCCTTGGGAAGGGGGGCGCTTGCCGCGCGAGCGCCCTGCGGCTGCGCAGTGCCGCGACGTCGCCCCGCCCACCGCCCTGCCGCCGCCGGCGTCGCCATGGACCCGTCGGGCTCGACTTGCTCGATGGCCGACACGCCTCGCCTGCTGGTGGAGGACTCGCAGCCGGAGCCGGAGCCGGAGCCGGAGCGGGGCGGAGCGGCGCTGAGCCCGGTCCTGGAGCCGCCGCCGCCGCCGCCGCCCTCGCTGGTGTGCCCGGAGGCCGGCGAAGGTAAGGGGGAGGGGCGCGGCCTCCCGGGCGCTGCGGCCTCTCCGGGCGGCGGCCGAGCCTCCCCCGCCTCGCAGCGTCGCCCTCGCTCAGCCCGACGGGGAGCGCGGCCAGAGCCGGACCGGGCCGGCGACGTGCGGGAGGGCCGCGGGGGCAGCCCTGGGCCTCGGCGCGCCTCTCCGCTCCGCTCCGCTCCGGAGGGTCGGCGGGGCGGGCGGAGAGGCAGCCTTGGAGGGGGCGGCGGCGGCGGCGGCGGCGGGACGGCACAGGCTCTGCCCATTTCGTGCCCGGGCCCCGAGGGGCGCGGAGGCCGAAGGGCCCCGGTTAAAGTTGGGCTGCCCGCCCCCCTGCCCCGCTGGCGGGCGGTTTCTGTGCCGGGGGAGCCCCGGGAAAGGTGCCGCCTTCCAAAGAGGCCGAGAACGGGGCTTTGGCTGGCGCCGTCGGAAGGTTGCATTTCAGTTGTGGGGAAATGTTCGGCTTGGAGGCCCAGGCCAGCCCGTGAGACCCACAGGGCCCGTTGGGTGAATGCCATGCTTGGTCTCGAAAGACCCGGGAGGCCGCCCAGCTCCCGCGGGGGAGGCTGGGGGGAGGGGCGGCCCTGGGGGCCCGGGGTCAGCCCTTCTTCGCCTGGCCGGCTGCTGCTTTGCTCTAGGTGAAGCTCAGGTTCTACTAAAGTCATGGTGACAATTTCATAGCTTGTAACCAAACCTCCATTCCTGGTTCTTTCTTAGTTCCACCTGCAGACGTAAGGAAACCCAGCAGTGATTATTCTAAAGGGTAAATATCTGTCAAATTTGTTTTTCACCCACCTGGGCATCTAACTCGCCACAACTAAAACAAAAGCAGAGATGGCACAAATGGCGCCTGGAAAAGAGTGGAGCCATGGGGCGTCCCTCTCTTTCGTGAAAGGCCTGCAGGAACAGCCCTTCTAAGCCACAGCCGGGTGGGGCCTCCCAGTTTCCAGGGGGGGGCGGGGGTCTCATTCCAGAGGGCAGGCATTGCTTCCGGGAAGGGTCTCTTGCTGGGATGATGCTGTTGGAGGAACCCGGAGCACGTAAGCAGGCCAGATCAGGGCAGTTGGGCAGCCACTACAGGAGACGGTCTTTCCAAGAGAAATGATACAATCAGAGCGTTGGAAGGAATCGTGCGGATGGACAGACGAAGGCGTTTTCCTAGGCAGAGAATTTCTTTTGTGTTTCTACTCCTGCCATTAAGATGCTTTTCCTAATGTTCACCTGGAATTGCCTTCCTGTAACTCAGGACTGTTGTTATTCTCTACTCTAGGATGTGGTTGGCCTGTGTAGCCTCCCTTCAGGCAATTGATATGTGCCACCGTAATTCCCCTCTTCTTGAGGCTACGTGATCTGATTTCTCTCAATCCTGGGTTTGCAGCTTTTTAATGTCATTGAAAAGAAATTCTCTGAGACTGACTTGTACATCTGATGTGTTTACCATTTGTTTTGTCTGTCTGCAAAGTTACAAGTTGGTACCTTTGCTGGGCCATGAGAAACGTTTCCCCTTGAATTCCCCAGTTCAAGCTCCGTGTCCAGCCGTCTCCCTGGAATCATGCAGCCCCATAAAGAAACTCCCGAGAGCCCAGGGTCTGCCTGCCTCCTCCTGGAGAGGACGCCGCCAGTGAAGAACCCTCGTCCTTGGCCATTGGAGGAGGCTGAGCCTGTCTCTTCTACGCAGGAGGACATGTTTGGCCAGAATAGCTCAACAGGTGATGGGAGGCTGTCATCTTTTTCTTGCTCACTGTTCCCACTTCGAAGTCAGGCTGGCCTGCTTTGCTTATCCCGGTATTTGAGGAGTGGGTGATAACTGAGAGAGGAGACTGTCTGGGCCCCCACAAAATGAATACTAATTTGAAGCAGGGTGGTGAGGGACGTGGCACATACGCTGTATGTCTTGTGAGCTAAGGGTAAGTGGAATAGAATATCGCTTGGTCCTGTCATGGGACCATGACTTTGTGGAGAGCAACCTGCGCCTGCTGCGTAGAGCCCTAGAGCTGAATGCCATGCCCCCCTCCCCATTGTGCAGGGACGGGAAGGGGGGGGGTACTGGTTTCATTTCAGAGAGAATGTTTAATGCCCATTTGTACTTGTTGGATTACCAAAGTATCTGTTTCCAGCAAATAAATGTATTGTTGTAACTACAGGTTGTTCCGTGGTGAATATTGGAGCATTACCCTCTTGTCTTGTTCAGACAGCTTTGAGTATGTTGTAACCTGAATCAGCAATGTTGAGAAAAGTAACAAACAGGGCTGTGGGTTTCTCAGAGCAGAGGGATTCTCGTCATTCCCCTGTGGCATCTGGAGAGCCCCAGTTCTTGGGTGCTAGATTTTTTTCCTGACCTGCCCGGAGCAGCTGACTGGCTCCCCAGGAAGCAGCCTCTTCAGGGGAAGGTATTTCTTCAGTGCTGGAGAATGGGAAGCTTCTTCCAGCCAGCCACAGTGTTCCTAGCAGCCATGCGGAGGGTCCAAGGTCCTTTGCAGTTTGGGGTAGGTGCAGGAAAGCAGCCCCAACAGCTGGGACCTGGATTCTGAAGCGTCTCTCTTCCGTGTTTTAATGCAATTGGAACAGCTCAAGGCAGACTGGAAGAGGCAGGTTCCCCATCATCCACTCCAGCGGATCCTCTGCGCGTCCTTCAGCTCTCTGGACAAGGGCCTCTTTCCAAGTAAGTGGCAAGCTTGATGCCTGTTGAGGTGCCTTTATGGGTGTCTTTCTTTGGGATCCCTTTTCTAACCAGTTGCTTTGCTTTTCTGCTCCTTCTTTCTCCTTTTGGTGTTCCGTGATTTTGTTTGGGTTCTTGCGCTTCTCTGAAAATTTGAGGTGTGGAAAATACTTCAAGGCTGGCTCTAAACTTGAGATTACTTGCAGTCCATTTTGAAGTTGTACTGTCAGATCTGGAAATCAGAACATTCGTGCTTTGAGATGGTTTGGCCATCTCTGCTGAAGACTGAGGACTCGGCTCTGCTCTTCAGCCTTTTGCTTGTCTTCTGTTGGCCAAAGTAGAGGGACGGGGGTGCAGATGGTGGAGGTCTTTCTCTGTTCACTGTTCTCTCTCCCCTTAGTTGTGCTTCAGGTCTTGCTAGAACAACTTCTGATGTCTTACAACCAGTGCCTTTTATTCTTCCCAGAAGCCCAACTGAACAGGAGGCAGGAGGTATGCCGTCCCTTTTTGCCAGATTAGTTACACTTGGGAATGTCCCGGTTCCCCCCTTGGTTCTTGGGGGAGGAAGAGGCTCTGAGGACTGACTTGATCTTACACTTAGGAATGGCAGTACAGCGGAGTAGTCCGTTTTCCCTTCATTTGCCACGAGGCTTTCTTGTTTTCTATTTGTTTATAAAATGTATATGGCTGTCCAACTCATTCACGATGACTTCGGGAGACACACGATAGTAAAGCCTCCAATAAGCCCATAAGCCCCACTTGCCTCCCTGGCAACAACAACCCACAAACCATTTCGTGGGCTCCGTATCACCCTCGGGTCCTCAGGCCCACTGGCAAAACCATGTCTTCAAAGGAGTCCTTTGGAAGACTATGAAGGAGGGAGCCACCACGGAGAAGGCTCTTCTTCTTGGTTCCACTAGATGAACCTCCTTAAGAAAGGAGACCTGTCACATACTCTGCCTCCCCCATTCTGCTGGGTCAGATGGACGTAAGTGGGAAAAGGCAGTCCTTCCCATAAGCCCCAAGCCTTGTAGGACTTGGAAGGTGACAACCAGCACGTTATTGTGAATTCTGAACTGGGCCCAGAAGCAGATTATGAACTAGTGCAGCTCCCGCAAGAAAGGTGAAGGGTGTGCAAATCTGTACTTGCACCAGGCTGCTGCATTTGGACCAAGTGAACGAAGTGAAATTTCCGGGAAACTGTTCAAGAATGGCCCCATTACAGCAGTCAAAAGTGGTGTCAGTTTCCTAGAGGTGCTAATAGTCTCCACTTTTTTCACAATTCTAACTAGGAAAGCAGGAAAGCCCACCGTTGGAGACTGCAGGCACCCTTCAGGGCTCTGGTCCAGGGTCTCAAGATGCTTTTGTGCTGCCATCCCAGCCCGAGTTCTCTCACGTGAGTGACTGCCTGAGCTGCTGCTGCTGCTATGAATGCGGGTAGCAGCCAGGCAAATAGCCCAGTGAGCCTGTCATATTCCGAAAGGCCTTTTCTGGAGCAGAAAACATTCTGAAGGTCCAGTGGTCAGCTTGGGAATAGCAATGGCACTTAGACTTGAATAACGCTTCACGGTGCTTTACAGCCCCCCTAACCACCTGAGTCCTCTTTTTACGAATCTCAGAAATAGGGAAGGCTGAGTCAGTCTGGAGAATCGAACTGCCAAACTGCTGGCAGTCAGCCGAGGTAGCCTGCATTCTAAGCACTATAGCCCCATCTCCGGAGGGGAAATTTCTGTCGACTTTTCCTTAAAAAGGGTCTGTCGGGGATAGCTAGTCTGCCATAGGATTTCACTTGGGAGCCACAGGATGCGGTTTTATGGTCCTGCTCGGTGTCGGCCACGAAGGCAGCCGGCTCCGGGCTGCAGAGTGGCCGGAGGGATGGCACCCCTTTCCTTTTCCTTTGCAGGACACCTTTCTCCCCACTCCAAGCCTGGAGGAAGGCTGTAAGACAGGAGCCGAGAAAGGAGGACCTTCTGCCGAGGCTTCCCTGGCAGAGGCTTCCCGAGAGGACGACTGTGTCCTGGCCCTCTCGGCCAGTCAAGGCAGTCCGGGGACCCCAGCGGAGGAGGGGAAGACCACCGGCCATGCTGCTTCGCGTGCTTTGGAGGAGAAGCTCCGCTTGCCTGAGGACTGCAGTGAACAGGAGGCTGACGAGGAGACTTCCCCTGGTGACGACCCTTGCAGTGACCCTGGCCAGGAAGGCGGCGTGCCAAGCAGGGCCTCTTTGCTCCCGGAGGGTGAAGCTGTCCCAGAGACTCCCTGTGAAAAGCCAGAAGAAGCCACGTTGCTGGATGAAGGGCTTTCCCTTCGTTTGACGATTTCCCAAGCCGTAGAGCAAGCAGAATGCTCTGCACTCGGGGAAGCCTTTCCCCCAAACGATCCACAGGTAACTGGCGAGTCAGGAAAGCTAGCGCAAGCTCCTCTGGATCATCCCAGCAAGGCTGGGCTGGAAGTGCAGAGCCTGAGTCGGAGGGTCCATCCTGGAACGATGCTGAAGCAGACCGATTCTGAGCCCCAGCCGGAGCAGGGGAGCAGGCAGTCCCAGAGAAGAGCTGGTAGTTTTCCTGGAGAGATTCTGCGTGCCCATGCCCCGCCAGGTAGGGGCCGCCCCAAGGGCCGCAATGCCTGCCAGAGAAGAGCTGGCTGGGGTGCGGGGAGCGGGGCTGCTTGGCAGGGACCAGGCAGTCTGCCCGGAGCAAAGTCGGGGGAGCCCCAGGGCCCTTCCTGGGAATGATTCGGGTCTAGAAGACAAGGTGCCAGGTGATGCTGTGGGTTCCTCCGGAGCTGGGCCCCCCCGTCCAGGACCAGAGAGGACAGTTGTCCATGGACCAATGAGCCCCAAGCCCAGAGCCCTTCCCTCTTGCCGGGGCTCAGTTTCGGCCTGTTGCTCCCTGAACAGCTTCCAGGCACAGCGAGAGGGCGGTCATGGCCCTGCCTGACTCACCAGGCACACAGACAAGTTTGCCCTACATGTGAATCCTTGCTATTCCTAAGACTTGGTTAGACTCGAAGTGAAGCTCATGAAGGTCAGACTTCAAACGGGGTAGCTTTTGGCTAGCGATCCTCATCTTCCCATAAGGACCTCCAGAATTTCTTGTCCCGCAGTTAAAATGTCCCCAATTCAGATTCCTGCTTATGAAGGCTTCTCTCGCTTTCTTTTACGGGAGACTCTTGACGGACTCTTTTTCAGCGTTTCTTTGAGCAGCATAACCCTTTGGCTCTTTTCTCGCATTCAGCACGTTGGCTCCAATATGTTAATTCCTCTGCCTAAAACCTTGCAGTTTTTCTGCTCTGGTTACTGATTTGGAGCTAAGTGTTTCAGTCCGTGAGGTCACTGGAGTAACATTGATCTAGTCCAATTAATTTTGTTTCTTCAGCACGGTTGTTTGTTTAGCTCAGGAAATTGAAGTGACTCCTATTAGTCTTGGATTGGAGGATTTTAAATCTTCTTGAAGAAACCCGGTCCCTCCTTGTTTGAGCCCCCGTTCTTGCTTCCATTTTCAGGCTTCGGCTCCATCCGAGCAGCCGAGCCCTTTGCCTCTCCTCTCTTTGAGCTGCCCCTTCAGAGAGACAGAATCATAGAGTTATAGGGCTAGAAAGGGGCCTTGGAGGTCTTCTAGGAAGAAGTTCTTCTGTGGGTCTTGTGCTCTTTTCAGTGTTGTATGTTTGTTTGACTCTGCTTGAACTCAAAGCAGATTCTCTTTCTATTCTTACGGTTTCATTTCTTTCATTAGACTCGCAGGCCGCCCACCTTCCCTTAAGTCGCCATCTCAACTCCCTTCCCCTTTCCCTGCCCTCTTCCTTGGGCGGTCCACCCGGTCCGCTGAACCTCCCGAAGGCCTCTGAACGGGGATTTCTCTCCTCCTCTGAGTAGAGCAAGCATCCCCCTTGGCCCTCCTGTCTGTGGGCTGCAGTTCCCAGGCCGGCTGCAGCACAGGGGAAGCGGAGCTGCCGGAGTCCCAGGCTGGGATTCCTCGGCCCACCCCAGGCGGTTCTTCTCTCTTACTGCTGCTGGGGGATGATGGAGGCATCGTTGGAGAGACTGTTTTTGTCCAAAACTCTTTTGAGTTTTCTCCCCTTGGCAGGAACGGGTATCTTTGGTTGCCTCTCTGCCTGCCCCTTTCCATGAAGCCCATGCAATTTCTTTGGGCATAATACTTCTATTCTACAGTGCCATTGTAACTTTGAACGACCATTAAACCAGTGGTTGTAAATTGAGGACTACCTGTCGATCTTCTTGTCCCTCCCTCTTTGATTCCCTTCTGGGTTCAACCCATTTTTCAGTTAGCAAACCCAGAAACCCCCCTTGAATATCTGCCCTTTTTAGCAAAAAGTTTATAAAAGGTCTTTTGTTATAATGATGCTTATTTTATCCCTGATCGCCCAGGTCAGTTCTGAAAGTTCTGTCACCTTCACCGGTCATTCCCCCATGGTCGCCATGCCAGGTTTTGCGCCCGTGGCAACCTGGCGCCGTTTCCGGTGGGGTGGAGAGGGAAAGGGCTGGACCAGGAGTGGGGAGAGCCACGTCCCCCCTCATGCTCAGCCCTAAAATGGGGCGTGGAGAAACTCCTGCCCAACAGGCAGCCGGTGGGCCAGTGCAGCAGAGTCTGCCCCCCCCCCCCGAGGGGGCTGACCCAGGGCGATAGCGGCCATTTGGAGGACGGCTGCTTGGGATGGAGGCAAGAGAAGCAAGGAGGTGGGACCCTTCTGCCTGTCATTTCAGAGCCACCCTTTGGCGTCTTACTGGCGAACGAGAGAGATGCCCTCACCCCGCCTCTGGCGGGCCAGCACAAGAAAGGCCCCAGGCACAGCACCCCCATCGGTGAGTGGAGGGTGGATTCTGTGGGGGCAGGAAGAGGGTTTGTCAGGAGCCTCTGGGGGGAGAGTTGGGGGGGGGCTGAAGCTCTGCGTGGTATTTTTGCCTTAACGATGAAGCCGTTTTGCCAGCTGTACCTCGGGGCCTGGTTGGCCCATTGCCCGGACGGCAGCTGTGGTGCTGGAAGAAGGCGCCAAGGCTGGCACACGTCTCCACGGACCTTGCAGAGGAGAAGGGCCTTCGAGGCCCCGGGAGCCCCTTTGAAGGCCCCCTTTTCCTTGGCTTCTTTCAGTGGTGGCAAGCGATCCAGAGCACCCTGCGATTGGCCCAGAGGGCAGAGACGGCGCCTTGGAGGGGGCTGGCTCGGCTGGCATGGCAGCCATGGAGGAGAGCCCCCCAGGGAGTTCTGTGGTGGCCTGTGAAGAGGACGGGGGGCTCTCCCTGCGTAGGAGCCTGGTGACCCCCGTGATGGAAGAGAGTGACGAGCCTCTGCCTTTCAGCCTGGAGAGTAAGAGAGGCCACCCGGGAATGGTGACCCCAGGGTGTGTGTGTGTGTGTGTGTGTGTGTGTGGCCCGGGAGGTTTTGGCTTCTTTTGGGGTGGGTGTCCCGGTTGCCTCCAGTGATTGGGATGCCCCCCCCCCCACCCAGGTGAGAAAAGGGGTCATTGAGGTGGCCACAAGCCTTGAATGCGGCTTGTTTGGAGAAAGGATGGCTCCTATTTGAAGGTCGGTGTATTCTGCTCTTTCTCCTTGCTCCCCGTAGAGCCTGAAGGCAGGGAAAGGACGAACGGGCTGGCCACCGCAACCAGTCCCAGGTAAGACCTCTGGCAGGAGAGAGTTTGGCCCCCGCCCCGAGCTCCTCTGCCTTGTCGGGGGATCTGTGCCGGGTGGCGGGAGAAGGGAAGCTCCAGGGGCCTTTGGCCCTTGACGCCCCTCTCCCCTCTGTCTGCAGTTCTCAGAAGACGCCGTCGGTGTTCGCTCGAGTCTGTGGCCCTCTCCCTGAAGAAAAGGCTCCGGGCCCAGGACAGCCGTCGCCCCTGTTCAGGCAAGGCTCCAGCCGGGGCCTCCTGGCCGCTTCCTCTGCAGGGACGGAGGACTCCCCTCTTTTGAGCAGCCTCCGTCTTTCTGGGTCTCTTTGCTGGGTCCTTTGTTGAGAAGGTTGGGACTTTCTGCTGCGTTTCGTCAGCCTTGAGGGTTGCCGTCTTTGACTCCCTGCAACGGTTCCATCTGGCCGGAGACTAATGTCCAGGCTCACGTTTTATGCTGCTCCTGGGGGGCTCCAGCTTTAGGGAGAAGGTAGCCATGGCAAGTCGGCTGCGGCACCTAAGTTGAGTAACGCGGAAGGGAGGAGACGGGAGTGGTCAGTTGCTGGTAAGCCCTGGCGCCTCCTGAGAGGATTCCCTCTGGGATAGACCCCGTGGGGGAGCAGCTGGCTCACAGCCAAGGGCCACCCACCCACAGTCGCTCGCCTGTCAGATGGGCGGCATGTCCACTGCATAAATAAAGGGTCATGCGGGAAGGGAGAGCCCCCACCTCGCCTGGAGGCAGCATCCCATGCAAGGGAAGCTGGAGGGTTGGAGCGTGGCCTGTTGGCTCATCAGATTAGACAGGATATTGGATCTGATCCAACAAAGTTGCTTTTTTGTCATTATCCTGTATTTTAGGGGTGACTTGTTCAATTTTCCAAGTTCCCAAGAAGAAGAGGAGCCACCAGGGACCTGGAAGGATCAGCAGAAGTGTGTCTCCTTGGGCTTCAGGCCAGTCCCGCCTTCTGAGCTGGTGGCTACAGAGCGAGCGGAAGGCTGTGCTGAAGTGGCAGGAGAGGCCATGGAGGTTGCCCTACTGCTGCAGCGAGGGGAGGAGGGGCATGGGGGCGCCCCAGAAGAAAAGCCCGCCCCAGAGTCGGGATCCAGCCGTGGCAAGAGCCCCCAGGCTCCAGGGGAGCGCCAAGGAGACCCAGCAGGCCCCATCTCAGCTGCCACGCAGACGGCCTCTCCCGCTCAGGTGGACGTGGGCACCAGCACCGCCCCTCCTCTGCTCCTCCAGTGCAGCGCCAGCGTGCAAACGGAGAGGGACTTTATGTGGCGGCCCGGAAGCCCCCCAGAGGCCTCGCCCAGTCAGGTGAGGAAGGACGGGACCACCTGGAGTTCAGGCAGCTCCAGTGCAGCTACCTGACAGCAGCAGGGAAGTTTACAAAGGAGAAATCATTTCTTTTTGCATATTCAGACCCATCGGGTAATCCCAGTGTTGAATGTTTCAGGAGACGATCATTGAAGTACCTCAGTTGGAAAATCCTCAGCAGGTTTCTCTTTAGGAGCTGATGGCAAACAATGCATCCCTTGAGCAGCCGGGCAAAAGCTTTGGGTGTCTGGGGTGTGTGTGTGTGTTTGAAATGCCCCTGGTGGGGGTGGGGGGAGAAGAGAGTCATGCAGAAAGTAAGTGCCAGAAAAACTGCCCTCAGTCCGCTTCTCCCTAGCCCCCTCCTGGAGGTAAGGAGCTTAGGAGGGGCTTTGCCCTGCCGCGGGGGTCCTGCCAGCACTTTCTGGATTGGCTGCAGCTCCCAGGGGGTCTCCAAAGACTGTCCCAGGTCAGGGAGTGGGGCAGTCAAAGCCCGCGTCCTGGTGCCATGCTGGGCTGCCAGAGCACCTCCCTGGGGGGCAGATGGCATTAGGGCGAAGGCGAGTTCTGAGGGAGACCTGGGACGGATCTTGCCAGCACAGCCTGGAGTTCCAGGCTGGAGACGTGTTCAATAACACCGGGGTCACCAGGCCCTGAACCAGGACAGCCACGAGCCCTGCCTTGCCCTGACTACTGAAAGGAATGGCCTGGCCTGGCGGGTGTGGGGTACTGAAGTCGGTCCCTGGAGCCTCAGGCCCTCCGGGCGCTGGCAGCCGCCCCTGCCGGTCACGCTGGGAGCAGCCAGGAGGTCTGGAAAGCTGCCTGCGGTCCGTGGGGGGCCGGAAGGCGGGCAGAGGGGGGCTGGGCGGCTCCTCTGCTTCTCCTGGCTGGGAGGTTGCCGAAAGGGAGAGCGGGCGGGTCTTGTGGTCCTCTTCGGCCTCCTGGTTCTTGAGTGGGCGGAGCAGTGAGGCTGGGCTCCCTTCCGCCGAGTGTCTTTGGCAGGAGCAGCTCCACTGCGGGATTCCTGCTCAGCTCCCTCTCTCAGGGCCACCACTCCTGTCAGTGTGGCTGCTATGGCCACAATGTGGACTTTTTATGTGGTTCAACTCTCTTCTGTGGCTGTGGTTTCTATGGTTTGTGGTAGAGATTGAGGAGGCCGCAACCCTCGGCAGGTGTGGCCCTGGGGCTCTATGGCAAATGGGCCACGTGGGGTGAGATCAAGTGTGGCCCCCGCCTAACCTGCCTTGGGCTGCCCTGGGTTGCTCGTCCCTCTGCCCATCAGAGCAGCCCCTGCTCTCTCCCCTCCCCCCACCTACCTGGGGCCCTGCAGATGAATTCTGGATGGGAAACGGGGGCGGGGGGGGGGGTGTAGGCCACCACAGCTGAGCCAGTCAGTGAGAAATAGGGGGTGCCATAGAGAAGTTGCTGGTTGGCAGATGAAGGAGCGTTTGGTGTTTGAATGACACAAGCGGTGGTGTCAGCTACACAAGTGTGCAACAGCATTTTTACTTAGTGATTCCTTAGAGCCTCTAAAGCATTGGCTATTTTATCTGGAAATGGAAGCGGCGTCAGGTTTGGGAAAAGCCCTCCCAGGTCCTCTCAGCATCCAAAGCTCCTTGGGGTCACCTGGACCTTTCCCAAAGGAGGCTGGTCTTGGCCACTTTCTGGTGACCTTCAGTGGACAAATAGGAGTTTTCACTGGACTGGCCTTTGGCTAATGTGTTGTTATGGCAATGGTAAATACGTAACATTTTTTTCAACAGGTTTTTATTGTTGTGTTTTCTGCCTTTGGGGTTGCTTGTATTCTACTTATGGATGAACTGAGGTAGGTTGTAGTTTAAATGTATTTGAATGAAAGTGATAATTTTTAAGCATCTGTGCTGCACAAAACCAAAAGAGAAAATAGAGCATTTGAATAGGAATCATACAGAATTAAACTTGTCAATAGCACAGATAATCTTATATGCTCAATATTAGGTATAAATGCTTTCTAACGTCTCCTCTGTGTAAAAGGCTTGGATTCTATCAGTTTCATCAATAAAGAATATTTGCAGCTCAGGCTTGAAATGAAGGTTCCTTCGTGCTTCTCTCAACCAGGTGGTTTTCCTGCAGATGTTTCATGACCTAAACTAGGTAACATCATCAGTGCTAGCAGGGAGTGGGGTTTGCTGTCAGTTGATGTTCTAGTGCAGGGGTGTCAAACTGGCGGCCCATGGGCCAGAATGTTGTGCGCAGGCCACGCCCACCCCAGCTCCGTGAAGGGCAAAAAACATGGTGATACATCACGTGATGGCAACGTGACGCCACAAGTTTGACACCCGTGTTCTAGTGGCTTGCCAGGGTTGGTGGGAGAGATAGTGGAGGGTTTTTGGTTGGGCTGTTTACTGTTGGCTTGTTTGGCAGCGCCTTGGTTGCAGTATTGTTTACTTCTGGGTTGTTGGTCTGATGTTGACCTTGGTGTTAATCTCTGCTCATCTGGGTGCCGATTGCTGGCAGGGAGAGTTTTGGTCCTTTTGTTCACTTCTTGCACAGTATGTAGCTGTTGTTTATGTGTCTGTTGGTGGCCAATTTGTCACAATGTCAGGCTTCCAGGAAATCGTTGGTCTAGGATGGGCACGGTTTCCCCGTTGAAACTAGGGTTAATTCTGTCCATGGGTTGAGATATGAAAGGTTTTTCATCGTGTCTACTGACTGCTAGTTGTGTTCATGGATGCCTTCTGCCCGTCCTCTGCCTGTTTGGCCTACATATTGGCCGTTGCCGACTTTCATTTCCACTGTACGTTGGAGATGATTCTGGGGCGGCTGGGTTTTTGTTTTTTTATAACTTAGGATGTTTTGAAGAGCTTTAATTGGTTTGTGTGCTATCCTGATACTATGTGGTTGCAGTCGTCTGTTGGTAGTTTCTGAGATGTTTTGGAATCTTTTAATATTCCATATTCTTTTGAAAATGTTGGTGATGGTTTTGTGGGTGTTCTGTAATTGGTCCTGTTTTATTATGGTGAAGTTGTCATCTGCATACCTGATTCATATTTGGGGTTGTATTTGTGGGAGTGCTATTGCCTCCAGATGTTGCATTAAAACTTTCGCTATGAGTCTTGGAAGTGGTAATCTCATGATTTGATTTGTTGACAAGTTTGTCCATTGAATTGAAAGTATGTGGTTAGGCTGAGGTTGATAAGATCCATGATTTTGAGTGTTTCAGTCTTGGTGTATTTGGTTAGGTCAGGTGTCCGTGGAGCAAAGTAGTCCTGGATTCTTTACTTAATTCTGGCTCTGTGGATGTGAAAAGGTCTGTGACAGCAAATGAGACCCTCATTTCATCCTCATCTATTGTTGTGTCTTTGTTTCTTTGAAGGCCTGTCGTGGGGAGTTGATGGCGTATTTGCTTCCCCCTGTGAGGTGCCGAGGCTTTTGGGTTAATTCTTTTGTGATTCTGCCGGTTGGGGTTCCTGGTAAAGATACAACTGGAGGGAGAGGTTCTGTATTGGGGGGCACCTGTAGAAACATGAAAGGTGGGTCCACTGCTTCTCATCCGTCCCTATTCCTCTTTGGTAATTTGATCTTTCTTGGTGAGGTCACGGAGAATTTTCTTGAGCCAGTTCCCCAAAGTAATCGCCCAACCTCTGCAAGAGAAGCTGCATAAGAACTCTATATAGACATGCACCAACATTGCAGCAACCCTGAACAGCAGGAAAAGGAAACAGATCATCTACACACCTTCCAACAAAATGGATATCCACACAACTCCAGCAAAAAGTGCCCGATCACTTAACACACCATAACCACAACCCAAACACACCGCAAAAGGGATAATAACACTGCCATATATCAAAAACAGCTCAGAAACTACAAAAAGACAATGACAACCACAGGGCATCAGCGTAGCACATAAACCAACTACAAGTTCTCAACTTACCATAGTTCATTTAGTGACCATTTGAAATTACGACAGCATCGAAAAAAGTGACATGACGGTTTCTCACATTTTTGACCATCCCCATGGTCACGTGATCAAAATTGAGCTGCTTGGCAGCTGACTCATATTTATGACTATTGTAGTGTTCTGGGATCTTCTGACAAGCAAAGTTAGTGGAGAAGCCAGATTCGTTTAACAACCGTGTTACTAAACAATCGCAGTGATTCCCTTAAGTAACTGCAGTAAGAAAGGCTGTAAAATGGGACACATTCGCTTAACTCTCTCGCTTAGTGACAGAAATGTAGGGCTCAGTTGTGGTTGTAAGTTTATATATAGCTGTAAAGCTCTCCAAAGCATCCTAAGTTACAAAAAAAACCCCAGCCGCCCCAGAATCATCTCCAACGTACAGTGGAAATGAAAGTCGGCAACGGCCAATATGTAGGCCAAACAGGCAGAGGACGGGCAGAAGGCATCCATGAACACAACTAGCAGTCAGTAGACACGATGAAAAACCTTTCATATCTCAACCCATGGACAGAATTAACCCTAGTTTCAACGGGGAAACCGTGCCCATCCTAGACCAAAGATTTCCTGGAAGCCTGACATTGTGACAAATTGGCCACCAACAGACACATAAACAACAGCTACATACTGTGCAAGAAGTGAACAAAAGGTCCAAAACTCTCAGCACCCAGATGAGCAGAGATTAACACCAAGGTCAACATCAGACCAACAACCCAGAAGTAAACAATACTGCAACCAAGGCGCTGCCAAACAAGCCAACAGTAAACAGCCCAACCAAGAACTTGTAAGACCAACCCCATAAACACTGACAGGGGAAGCCACTGGACTAGAACCTCAGCCGAGAGCAAACCCCATTCCCTGCTAGCACACATGAAATGTCTGCCAGAAAACAGCCCGGCCCAGAGAAGACCAAGGAACTCTTATCCTTTGTTTCGTTTTCCCCCCCCAATAAGTTGGTGCCATAGATCTAGCATGAAATGGCGGTTATGATTCTGGCTTCTTAGGAGGAGAATCAGCTGGTATCCTATTTATGAACAATGTGATACTCCCTAGCTACTTCCAGAGGCAATTCAATTGAGAAGCACCCCAGGCCCTGTTGTCTAAAAATAGCTCTTCAGATGAAAAAAAAAGGGGGGGGGGAGTCCCAATTGCAATATCCATGCAATTCTCATGAAGCAGCCTGAAGGTGGTTTGCCAACTTTTTCATGTGTTTGACTTGCCAGGCTAGTTTGTAGCCTTTTGATTTCCTGGTAAGCTCCCATCTAAGTGCCAGCCAGCTCTGATCCTGCTTTTAGCTTTCTTTCACAATTGGCCAGACTTGATACCTGCGGTTGTTGAGACTATGTTTAGCTAAATCTAGTGAACATTTAGGGGCAGGTTAGAACTGGAAGCAAGAACGGCCAGCTTACATGCCGTCGTCAATTAGTAAATGTTTCAGTCCAAACCCAACGTACTTGGTTTTGATGAAAGGATGTCTGGAAATATTTTGGATTTTCTTTTTTTCTTTAGAAGGAGGAAGAATTTGAACTGCCCCACCCACCAGCAGGTAGAGTCCTACAGCGCCATGTGAGAACAATTCGGGAAGTGCGCACCCTCATAACACGTGTCATCACAGATGTTTACTACAAAGATGGCAGCGAAGTGGAACGACAGGTGGTTGAGGTAGGGTGTTTCCAATGAGGCCCCAGTAACGCTGAAGACCCCATGGTTTTCGGCACAATCTCTTCAAGGGTGATGTCCGTCTTTTGGAGGCTCCCGGAGGCAAAGGCTGTGGCTCTTCCGTACTCTGCTCTCTTCCAAAGAGGGACAGCCATCTTTGCTTGCAAAGTGAATCAAGCCACATCCAGAAGGATCCGGATTCTGGGGGGCCCTGAGGGGGGACGGGAGTGAAAGGGAGGGGTCAGAGGTGGAGGAGGTCAGGCTGGAAGGCCTGGGCAGCCCCCCCCCCATTTGCCTGAGAGCCAAAGCGATGGTTGAAGATCCCTCCCAGCTGAAGGACTTTATTGGTGGAAGGACGTTCTCCTGCCTGGGCCCAATTTAATCTCTTGGCAGGCTGAGGATATTCCACTCCTCCAGAGCACATAGAAATGTAGCAACGCTACTCTCTGGTATATTTGGGTCCTCCCAGCCAAGCCTGTGTCTTTGAGGGTGTCCCCCAGATCCAGGACCTGATGAGAAGCCAGGCCTGTAGGTTCCGCGGAAGGTCCTGAGCCCGTCCGTGGGAAAGGCTGAGGCTGCCCGCCCTGAGGGCCTCATCCCTCCAAGGGAGCCACGTTCAGACCCAGAAAGAGGAGAAAGGGGGGGGGGGCGCGGGGGGAAGGAAGCCATTCCCAGCCCAGCCCAGATCTACCATTTAAGGTAGGAATGGATGCGAAATGTCTCCTTTCTCCGGGAAAGAAAATCTGTTTTGCACGCTTTTCATTTTTATCCGTGGGGTGAGAATGAAACGGGAGGCTGCGTTTGCTGGGAAACTATCTATTATTTCAGAAGAGATTGAAGGGCCGTTCGTCTGGAACGGTACAGGGTGTCCTGCTTGATCAGAGAGCTGCACTAGAAGACCTCCAACTCTGTTATATGCTGTTATATGACAGCAGAGCGTGAGCAGAGTTGTACCTTCGAAATGCCATCAAACGGTGCAGGGATTCTGGGAAGGGCGGATGTGGGTGGGGGAGGGGCGGGGGGCCTAGGGGGGGGGGGGGGGGATGAGGAGGATGGCATCTGGAGCCTGGTCTGTTTCAGGAGCGAGAAGAGCCCCACGTGGATTGCTACGAGTGTGAGGTGGACGTCTCTCCTTCCCGGACAGGGGACTTTTCTCCGACCTCCGGAGACCTTGGAGACCTCAGCTCCTTCTCCTCCAAGGCGTCAGGACCTCACCAGACGTCCAGCGGAGGAAGCAGTGCTCTGTCTGCCACTCGCAGCCGCCTAAACTCTGCAGGCCCACGAAGAGGCTCTCAAGACTCGGCCTTGTCCACGGCCAGGAAGCCAAGGTGGGTGGAGGCTTTGGAGATGGCCCGCCAGTTTGCACAGAGTTCTTCGGTTGGGAAGTTCTTGGGCATGAGAAAGTCAGTTGATGTCTTGCAAGAGAAGCTCGTGCCAGAGTTCAGAAAACTGAGCTCTGAAACCTTAAGGGTAGTTTAACTTATTGAGCACAGAGGCAGATAAACAGACGTCAAGAGTCCAGATGTCTGGCAAAGCTTTGTGAAGGCCACCCGTGTTATTGAAAGTTCCCTCCGAACTCCGTCCTGAAGAGTAATATCAGATGGTCCTTTACTTAATCAGTTTCTTTAGCCACCCATCTCGACCACCTTTTGTAGTCCACCTTTGGCCTTGGTTAGCAACACACTTTTCTGGAGACCTCCGAGCGCTTAGCCAGCTCCAGGGTTTTCCAAAGGGAAAAGGAGCTTTCGCATCCATGGTCAGTGTGTCATGGACCTGAGCGGCTTCCTGTGGGGAAACTAAGCTGCCTCTTATCTTCCCAGCCCAAAGAAAGGGACCGGCTTCTGCCCAGCGCATCGGGACCATGGCAAGGCCGCCGTGGGGGACGAGGCGGGAGACCCTGGCCCCAGCAACCAGCAGTGCAGAGGCGCACCTCTCACCCCCCGTGGGCGAGGGCGAAGGGGCCGCCCCGCTTCCCGATCCACCGGAGCAAGGTAAAGCGGGAGCGATGGGAGCGGAGGTTTCCTGGAAGGTCTTTGGGCCCCCCGTAATCCCTCTTGCTCTTTTTGCAGGGGCTCCATGCAGGCCGAGGCAGATCTTTCAGCCGGCGCCTCTTTGGATGGGCAGCCCGGCCTGGGTCCACATCTGGAGGGACGGGAGCAGGCTGAGACCCCTCGGTGCCGCAGTGGCTCCCCTGAAATCCCTCTGCAGGAGCAGTCAAGCGCCTCTGACGATCCCAGGCCCCCTCCCCCTGGGAGTTGCCTGGTGGGCCTCCGGGTGGTGGCCAAGTGGTCCTCCAATGGCTACTTCTACTCTGGGACCATCACGCAGGATGTGGGCGGGGCCAAATACAGACTGCTCTTTGACGATGGCTATGAATGCGACGTTCTGGCCCGAGACGTCCTCCTGTGCGACCCCCTCCCTCTGGAAACGGAGGTGACGGCGCTCTCCGAGGATGAATACTTCAGCGCAGGTAACCACCTGTTGGTTCGGAAGACACCCGTCACTCGGGGTGGCGGGACAAGGGGAGGGAGCAGGATTGGGGCCTCGGCCTGTAGCTCTGCCTTTGCTGCAGGTGTGGTCAAGGGCCATCGGAAGGAGGCGGGGGAGCTGTTCTATTGCGTCGAGAAGGACGGACAGCAGAAGTGGTACCGGCGGACGGCGGTTATCCTGTCCTTGGAGCAAGGGAACAGGCTCCGGGAGCAGTTTGGACTCGGCCCGTGCCAGCCGGCCACTCCTCTGACCAGGGCCGCCGACATCAGCCTAGGTGTGGCCCTGAGGCAGGAGTCCCGGATGGGTGGCCGGAGTGGGAGGGGCTGGGCTGGAGAGCTCAGGGCAGAGTCCCGCCTTTGTGCCCCTGGGGGAGGGCTGCAGGGAGGCTGGGGCAGCCCTGTGCCCCCCAGCTTACCAGTCAGGTGAAGCTGACTGTGCTTTACCTGGCGGACCCAGATAACCTGGTGGAGGGAAAGCGGAAAAGACGCAGCCTTGCTCCATCCAGCCCCGCCAGTGGCAGCACCACCACGCCTGTCCGCAAGAGCCCGGAGCCCCTTTCCAGCAAAAGGAAACTGGCCGCTGTCTCAGAAGAGGAGCAGTCCCCAGCCAAGCGGGGGCGGCACCTGGCCCTGTCGAAAACAGGTGAGGCTCGCCCAGGCGACCCTGGTCTCGGCTGCCGTCTCCCGAGCCTGGGGGGCTGCAATTCGGCCGTGCTCTTCCGGTGACATGCTGGGACGTCCTGGGAAGAGCTGGCAAAGGGCAGGAGTTGACCTTCCTCTCTGTCTGCAGGAGCTGCAAATGCCAGGGAGATGGCAAGCCCGTCAGGTGATCACTTGGCACCTGATCACCGATGGGGCCCTTTGCCCCAGAACAAAACCCTTTTTTTGGGCTACGCCTTCCTTCTCTCCATGGCAAATGCAACAGAGAAGCTTTCTGGTCACCCAAAGACTGCAGTGAGCAGCGAAGAAGAAGAAGGTGAGGCAACCTGGCTTGCTTGCGTCAATGTGCGTTGGTCCTTCCGGAACACTCAACCTTCTCTAGTTAATTGTAGATCTTTGATGGTGATGTATTGCATTAAAAGGGATGTTAATATATCAAATATTACTAACTCCTGGGCAGAATTAAGGTGGTGCTGATGGCTGCCTGTACATGTTGCACTAAACTGAAGCCAAACCACCGACCTCAGCAGCTCTCTCTCCCCTTGACTGACTTTCTTCTATCTGGAAGTCTCGGTGTCCCTTTGCAAGGGTTTTCTGGGTTGGATCCAAAAATTCCTCGTTTTCCCCGGTCAGTCGGACAAGTTCCCACCTGGCCCTTCACCTCTTCCAAGGAAAATCCACCCAGGTGGGAATGGCCCTCAGGAACAGGAGAGGAAGTGCTGCCGCCAAGACTTTGGGCAGCTAAAAGGCAGCTGGTCAGCTGGAGTCTGCGGCAGAGTCCTCACTGTAACGTCTCAGTGGGGGCCAGGAAGGCACAGAGAGAAGGTTCTGCTAGGGTAACATTACAATTAAAGTAGTATTGGTCTATATGAGTTAAGGTTTCTAGCCTAGCCCACCTTTAAGTGCTGATACCAAAATCAATTCTGATTTGGGGAGAGAGGGAAACTTCTGCCTTTTTGTCACTTGCTTTCACGATGCTTACATTGGAGTGAAATTTTCCTTAGTGCAGCAACGTGTGGCCAAGCGCATCTCAAAGGCAGGGAGGGAAGGTCCCTGTCCCAGGATGGCTCCCAAGGTGGGACGGGGAGGAGCTGGAACTAGAAGGCAAAACTGGCGCCTCAACACCGCTGGATTAAATCTCCAGGAGGGGAGGAGGGAGGCCTCTGGGTGACAGAAATATGTCAAGAAATCAGTGATGTTCTCCAACAATGAAAGTTCAAAATACTAGAAACATTAAAGAAAAGCTCGCTGAGAACAGGATAGTAAAATGGCCTCCTGTAGCCCTCAGCCAGCGAAAATGGAGCTCAGGGGAGGGGCACACACAGCCCCCCCCCCGCCCCCCCAGCTCCATTTTTGCTGGCTGAGGGGTACAGGAGGCCGTTGCGGCTGGTACAGGAGCCGGGGGGTGGGGGGTACACAGCCCTCCCTAGCTCTGTTTTCGCTGGCAGAGGGCTAGCAAAACAAACTAAAAACAAAAAGAGAAATGTTTCCCCTTGTGCATTTGAGCATGCAAGACGGGACAGGAAAGGAGGAAGGGAAAGAGAAAAGACAAAGAAAAACAAGGAAGGATGGGAAGAGAAGAGAGGAAGGAAGGCAGAAGGAAGAGGGAAGGAAAAATGGAAGGAAGGTTACAATGAGAGTGAGGGAGGGTCTGAGGGAAGGCCTCCCTTAGCATTTGGACACCACAGGTGCCCCTGACGTGAGTCACCCTGGCCATGTGGGCCCCCCCCCTCCCTCTTGGAGGTCAAATGCAGTCCTGATGTGGTCCTCAATGAAATCAAGTTTGACACAGGTGGCCTACAAGAAAGACCTTCTAGCAACCACTGCAATCCAGCCTGAGGCCCAGAGGCGTGTGTGTGTGTGCGCGCGCGCCTGCCTGCCTACGGGAAGAAAATTGTTCCCACGAACGAACTTGATATTAGTCCGCTTGGAGGCCTCCTCGCAGGTGTGAGGCGAATATGCAATGCTGGTTTGAAGGAAAAGTAAGACCTGTCCAATATGCTTCCCTATTCCAGAATTAGTGGAGAGAGTACCTTACAACAAACCCTACACTGAGCTGCAGCTCCAAGCAGGAGGAGGTTTCATCCTAGAAGACTTCAATGAAAGCCAGGTCAGAGTCCCGGGCGGGGTGTGTGTGTGTGTGTGTGTGTGTGCTCATAACAGGGCAGGGAGACGAGCCGTGAGCAAAACCCGCTGATGCAAGTGCACACCCAGAAGGCACAGTGTCCCCCTCCCTCCACAAGGTTCGGGGATGCCTGAAGAAGGGGTTTGTTTTGCGCTGTTTTCAGGCTGCATGAGTGAGCCAGATCTGCTTTGGGCTTCGGTAAATGGTTGTATGCTTTTGGCGGCCACCAGCTTTTGTAGCGGCTTCTGTAGGCTCCTGTGACTTGGCCGTTTTGGGCTACAAAAAGTCCCCAGTACTTTGGTGATCACATGTTATAATCGTGACTTTGTGACTGGGGGGTGGGTGGGTTTTCTATGTCTGCCCGGGTATCTCGGTGGGAAAGTGGTTCTCCCAGGCCTTTGGAGTGTCAGGGGTGGCACGAGGGCTCCGTGCTTGAGGCGCTGCTGGGCCTGTTGGCTAGAAAGCTGGCAGCCCAGGTTTGAGACCCAAGCATCAGGCCATAGGGTGAGCTCCCATCCTCGCTCTCGATCCTGCCCGCCTCGTGGTTCAAAAGTCTGCAAATGCGAGGAAGTAAATAAGCACCGCTTGACATCATGCTGGCCACATGACTGCGGAAATGTCTTCCGACCATGCTTGGCTCAGCGGCCTCAAAAGGGAGATGAGCACCACCTCCAGGAGTTGGCAGCAACGCGCGGAGTAAAACCGCAGGGGCCGCTTTAGGGTGCTGGGCAGCGCCTGCTCTGATTTCCAGGCCGTGTCCCGCTTGTTCGTGTTTAGCAAGGGCGGCCCTGAGGACAACCAGCACTGTGGCTGGAGGGCCCTGGCGGAGGGAGGCCCCCGAGCCTTCAAGGGCAGCTTGCGCTTGACCCGTGAAGAGCAAAAACAGCATGGTTGACCTCTGAGGTTGTTCAGGACGCCAGCAGCCCCCACACCCCAAACAACAACAACAACAACAACACAACCTTCAGTGAACTTCCTCTTCGCCAGGTTGTGTCCTGCCCTCCAGTCTTGGGTTCAGCTGCCTTTTGTGCTTGTCCCAAATCTCAGGTGTTTCCGTTTGCCGCTGCCCGCCCTTTCCCGCTTTTGGGTGAGGTGGAGTTGGGTATTCAGGGTGATCTCCCCCGGCTTCTTCCTGGCACCTGCCCTCCTGATGCTGCTGGATTTTTTGGCGTTGAAACCTCTGTGTGCAAAGTTTAGTTTCACCCTCTATGTGAGAAAGAGCTGGATAAATAAGGCAGAGAGATTCTGAGGAACAATCAGACCTGGGCCGAAAAAGAAAAAAGGCCGCTCAGGTGGTTCTTTCAGCCTTGCCAGCGCCTGTTAGCAGAGCCTCCCCGTAGCAGCTCAGCCGGTCAGATGCCGGTCTGGTCAGCCTTGATCCACAGATGAGCAAGATCAGCAGCAGCTGCAGCAGCAGTGACCTTAACTGACCCTCCCCTGGGAGCCTCTCCTCACCCGTCGATCAAGTTGTTTTCACACCACCTTAGCCCTAAAACCAAAAGGCAGGCAGCAGAATATTGCGACGTCCTGCTGGGAAATAACCTTCGCGGGGAAAGAGGCAGGTTGCTCTGTACGATGCCTCCTGAATTGCAGGCCTGGCAAAATGTCCAGGGAAAGGTGCTGAAGGAAAAAATAATAATCCAAGGGCAGAAGCTGTTTGTTCGGTGATGAAAGGGAAGCTGGCCAGGTCCCAGGCTGCGCTGGGCTATTTGGGGGGCTTGTACCCATCTTTCAGAGCATAAAGCTGACCAAAGGGACTTGCAAAGCCTAACAGTTATAAGTAAAGAGACAAGAAATTGCTCTTGTAAAAAGAAGACAGTTGCCCACAGAGTAGCTGATGCAAATGGGGGGAAAGTTCTCTCTATTTTCAGGGATTTTAAAATTACGGTTAATTTGACGCATATATCCAATATTCAGTGCATTCTTTGTGCATTCATGACAAGCTATGTTATGTTTTGAATGGGGTTAAAAGATGCAAATGGAAGGAACATCAGTAATAATTTGTAGCACTTAAATCAAGTTGTTTCATTAAATAAAGGTTCCTTAAATAAAACCAACTTCAACCAAATAAAAGGCCCAGGGCCACCGTGGTCCAAGTTATAAGTGAATCATCTCAGATTGAAGTGAAAAGCCCAGTTAAGGAAGATCTCAGGTAATGAATGCAGCCCTCTTCTCTGCCTCTATTCAGTTGGGAGTGAATGGTCACCTTCGTGGAGCACTCCGGCATCTATCAAACATTGCCCGATTAAGGACTTGGCTGAGGCTTCCTGGCAGGGCTTGTGCTGCAGGATTCTCTTCCCAAGCATTGTTGGGATGCGGCCTTCCTGGCTTCTGAAACCACGAATGGCCAGACCAGCATCTGCCTTAGTGGCTTCAGGAAGAAAGGGAGAGGCTGCCGGCCAGAGAAAGAGAGACGGGACAGTGCTGGCCATCAGCAAGCCTTTGATCGACAACAGTAATTGGGGCCAGAACTTCCACTGCTAAGCGATCTGGATGGAAAGGGAGGCGGGCCATGACTTAGTCATAGCAGCTCCAGCGCTCCCAGTTGCCCTCCTTGAGCAACTCCAGTGCGGCCAAGGGTGGTGCCAGGCAATCCCCCTTTGGGGGCAGGGATGTCTTTGTGAGGGGTCGTCACAGCAGGCATTTTGGAGGGCTAGTCTTGAGCGCCCCTCATTCGGGGCTAGCGAAGGGTCTGCTGTAAAAACTGGGTCTTGGTGGCTTTCCGGAAGGACAAAGTCGGGACTGTGCTGTGCACGTTGCCCGTGAGCGGGAGCCGACGCAGGGCAGTCTGCACAAAGCCACGAATGCTCCTCCTCCGCCTGGCAAAGCTTGCTTTGCTGTGGGACCGAGAGCGTCTGTTCTCCTTCCGTGTGGCTTCCAACTCAGGCAGGCCCAGATTCGTTCTTGGCCTCCCTCTGGCCTGCTGGCCTCACCCTTGTTTTTCCCAACCTCTGGGGCGACCTCCGTTTGTGGCTGGATTGGCACCAATGTGACACCCCCCCCCCTCGATCCAGTGCAGCGCAGCCTACGAGTGCCTCCTGATAGCAGACCAGCCCTGCCGCACCCGGAAGTACTTCCTGTGCCTTGCCCGGGGAATCCCGTGTGTCTCCCACATGTGGGTCCATGACAGCTGCCTGGCCAATCAGACTCAGAACTACAAGAACTACTTGCTGCCAGCTGGCTACAGCCTGGAGGAAGAGCGGTTGCTGGAGTGGTGAGTGGCCGGCTGTGGGCAGGGAGGCGGCCTTGGGAGAACCGGCCAGCTTCAGTACGGGGGGGGTGTGTGTGTGTGCGTGTGTGCGGGGGGAGACATTGCTATCCCAGCCCAGCAGGAACATCTCCGGTGTCCAGTGTGTATCCCAGACGCCTCACTGCTCTTCCTTCTAGGCATCCACGGAAGAACCCCTTCCAGAGGCTGAGGGTGCTCCTGGTGTCTGACGAGCCCCAAAACTTCCTGGAACTCTGGTCCGAGATCCTGATGATGGGAGGAGCCGCTTCCGTTAAGCAGCAGGAATCCTCCACGTGGAAGAAAGGTGCAGGCAGCTGCCAGCGGCTCTCTGGGGACGGGGGGCCAACGGCTATTCGGGTGCTTTTTAGAGGGGCTGGAACAACTCTCCCCCCCCAGTTGAAGGCGTATTTTGCCTCTGTGTAAGGAAGGGCTTGGCCTAAGAAACACATTAACCGCCCCCTTTTCTATTCTAAAAGGATTCTTCGGATCCTTTGAGAAACTGGGCGCATCTCCTGCTGCGAGATCACGGTTTCATGGGAAAGTGTTAAGCGTGAGAGACGCAATACTAGAAACTGACCATCATCGTTTCCTCCCGTTCTTCTAGATGTGAGTTTGGGCGTGTTTGATGTGGTGGTGACGGATGCCTCCTGCCCGGCTGCCATGGTGCCCTGTGCCAAAGCATTACAGCTGCCAGTAGTAACCCAGGAGTGGGTGATCCAGAGCCTCATTGCTGGAGAGTGTGCTGGGTTTAAATACCCGAAGTATCAACATGATTACGTCCCCTGTTGAAGCTCCCATTTTGCTTTGTGGCATTTTCATTCTCTAGATTTTAAACTTTTTCGTGGTGTTTGACTTATGCATGGTGTGCTTGTATATAGTTTTAATGTGAACTTTTATGATAAAATAAATGGTGATTTCTTATCTTGGTCATTATTATACTATTACTTGCACCATGGAAGAATTTATCAGTAATTCCTGCCATACTGGCCAAGGAATTCTGGGAGTTAAGCCCACAAGTCTTAAAGTTGCCAAGTTTGGAGACCCCCGGTATGAATGATAGAATTTGTTTTCACAAGGCAAGAAGCTATGTGGTGTGAACACAGAGAAATTTAGTGCAGGTGCTCATGGTACACAACACGAGGCTGGGAAATTCCAAACTTGGGTCCCCTTCCTCCCTTTTTCCAGCAGGAGGTTTCTTGCAACAAAAGTTCCAGACGAACCTGCTGAGTCCCAGGTGTTCAAGAGGAAGTTTGTTAAAAGCAGCACAAACCAATCTCAATGAGTATACTTAGAAAAGCTGATTTGAAGAGCTGCAAACACAAGGAGGGAGCGTGTTAAGGTGGAATAGCTACCAAAAGTTTGGTTTGCTTTCTAGAATTTGTGAAGCCAGAACAATTAAAAGTGCTTCTCCTGGGATATTTTCCATGCAAAGTTACGGGGTGAATGTAGGTTAGAAAATCAGGCTGGGAGAAGAGAGGTTTCCTATCTCTGGGACATCTGCAGATCCCTATTCCCAGGCCATCGACTTCTTGAAAAAATGGACTTTTTCATTAAAGGTTCCAGCAGTTTTGTTAGGAAATGAAATGGCAAGCGGCTCCTCCTCCGTCTGGTGTTTTGCTGTTTCCAGCAAAGGAGGCAGCAAATGGTGACAGTGTCCTGGCCTTGTTGTTCAAACTGGGTCTTCAGCGGAGCTTCCCCTCCGAGCGAGAGAAGCAAACAAAAGCCCGAGCAACTGGAATCTCCAAGTTGCTCCAGGCTGCTTTTCACATACTATTCCACCTTCAGAAATAGAACACAAAATCATTCATACGGTTAATAGCGTTGCGCCCTTTATAGCCATCACCTGATTTTGGCACAGAAATGGTGAAGGTGACACTTCAAAAGGCTGGACTTGCGGCTCTGCAGTCACAGCAAAAAGGGGGGACTCACTTGGGAGCCCAAAGCAATCGTTGTTCCTCTGTTTGCTTCAAAAGGAGCCCACGGAGCCCACTCCCACAAAGCTATTGAATACGCAAGACCCCATTTGCAACTGTTGTGGGAGCCCTGCGAGAACCCCCCCCCCCCCAGTTGCTTTGAGAGCAAATCTTGCGCCTCCTCTGCTGTCCTCTGCCACTGGCTGGAATGTCGCTGCCACTGCAGGCCAGAACACTTCTTGGAAACCGCGGCCATCCAGTGGGCTAATCATTCGAGCCCCACGCTGCAAGGAAAGAGAAGGGATTCAAAGGGAGGAAGCAAATTGGGCACAAATGGGTACATTTTGTAATACATGGACAGATTACAACCATAAAAGACCAGGGCGGCAGAGGGCAGCTGCTCTTCTGCCGTTTCCCCCATGTGGGATAGGGAAGCCGCAGGGCTTGACACGGCCTTTGTCCCGGTGTTCCCCACTGATTCCGTTGGAAGGGGGGGGGGCTAGAGGAGCATCCCCCGCTTTGGGATGCTGAGCCTTACCTGCCCAAAGTGCCTCCAGCGTGAGTGTAGTACTTGTTATAGTCCAGGCGTAACAGCAGTTGTGCCAAGTCAGAATTGATCTGGTGATTGTGAACGCTGGAAAGAATCTTGAAGAGAAGGGAGGACTGGCAGCTGAAGCCCTGCAAAGGGAAACGCAGGCATCGGAGCAGCCTTCTAGAGCCACTGCCCCTAGGGAGCCCCGCAGAACCTCCCAAAAGCCATTTCAGGCAGGAGAAGAATGGCACTGCCATGCCCAGGGTGGGAAAAAAAAATACATTTTTCAAAAAAGGGTTGTGCAGTTGCATCTGGAGCAGTGACTTTGGCCAGTGGACCTCTGAACCGGAACTGAGGAGCGACCTACGCCAAGTGTTCCACACAAACCTCAAGGCCGCTCATTTCGGCAAAGAAAAAGGCTAAAGCACAAAAGTTGGGTTCGCCAGTCAAAACGACAATCACACGAAAATGAAAGTACACTCTGTCTGAGTACTGTGGCTTTACATATCAGGGCAAAGTAAAAATCACCTGGTCCTTAGCAGTTCTTAAAAGTAGGTAAATGCAACCTCAGAGAACAGCACGCGATATATTATACCATGTCATTATTTTACACACACACAAAAAAAGCCAAAATGGAGAAGCCTCATGTGAAAAAAAGCAAGTCCGCTCTTACTGCTTAGGTACATATGAAGAGGCTACCTATCAGCCGGGTGCTGCTAATCAAATGCCCCTGATCAACTGATCCATTAGCAAGCCTGACTCTCTAAAAGCGGAAGTTTTGGGGTGAAAAGTAAAGACATCAGCAATAGGCTTAGAAAAGCAATTGTTTCTGCCCATCGTTCTGAGAAGGCCACCTGGAAACATTTAAAGTCCATCGTTCTGTGATGGGGAAGAGCATTCACAAGTGCAAAACGTCCAAGACAATTGCCAATCTTCCCAGGAACAGAGTCTCAAAGTTAGATCCTACAATGCTCAAAGAAATTGCAAAAAAATCCAAGTTACACCTCAGACGCCACAGAGTTCACTTGGCATGTTAAATGTTAAAGTTTATGATAGCACAATTAGAAAAAGATGGAAGAAGTATGGCTTGTTTGGAAGGGTTGCTAGGAAAAAACCTCTTCTTTCTAAAATGAATATTGGCAGCAGGTTTGCAAATTTGCGCCTGAACAAATCACAAGACTTCTGGGACTCTGCCCCTTGTGCAGAAGAGACCAAAGGGGGAGGGGTCTGGCCATAATGCAGCGCCACGTTTGCCAAAAACCAAACAGCACAAGCCTGCCAACTGCCAAGCAGTGGTGGAGGGGTGATGATGTGGGCTTGTTTTGCAACCACAGGACTGGGGCACGTTGCAGTCACTGAGCTGACCATGAACTCCTCTGTTTACTGAAGTATTCTAGAGTCACACAGCAGGACGATGATCCCAAAGGCATCAGCAAATCTACCACGGAATGGCTGGAAAAGAAAAGAATGGAGGTGACGCAAGTCCAGCCCTCAACCTGATTGAAGTGCTGTGGCGGCACCTCAAGAGAGCGGCGCATAAGCAAATGCTCAGAAACCTCCATGAACTGAAGCCACGTTGTAAAGAAGAGGCGGCCAAACAACGCGAGAGACTGATAACGTCACACAGAAAACGATTACTTCAAGCTATTGCTGCTAATGGTGGTTCTACAAGCTATTGAATCATAAGGTGTACATGGTTTTCACACCTGGCTTCTCCATCTTGGCTTTCTTTTTGTAAAATAAAGGATGACATGATGTAATGTGTTGTATTTACCTACTTTTAAGAACTGCTAAGGACCAGATGATTTTTATTATATCCTGATAGGTAAAATCATAGAACTCAAAGAGTTTGTATTTAATTTTTCACAACTGTAAAAGCAGCCAAAAGGCGTAATTGGGCTGCGAGGTGACTCGGAGCAAACCGGTTCTCTGCCAGCTGATCTTCAGCGCTACCGGTATGCCAGAACCGGGCCAAAACGGGAGAATACCACCACTGCGTCAGTGTGCATCTCTGTGTGGTTGGTTGTGAGTGGGTGGGTGTGTACTTACCTTAGCCAGGATGCTCAGCTGGGCTGTACCTCGTTCATCCAGGGGCCCTCGGTTCTGGCTGACCAAGGAACAAAAACTATGGCAGAGATCTAAAATTTCATTCAGGCAGTGGAACGCCTACAAAAGAAGGATCAGAAGTGGGCTAAATTATTATGTATTCATTTATCTTCCCACAGTTGTAACTGTTGATTCTAAACTAATTTTACCTATGAAAATATTAATTAGTTCAGCTCTGGGTTGTGAACAACACTTTTTTTAACAACTTGGATTAGAATTATGGAGAAAATGCTTATCAAATCTGTAGACAATGCAAATTAAATTCCTTAGAACGCAAGAAATCTAGGAAAATGATCTTGGTAGAATTGGGCTGAAAATAATTGTCAGGCTCCTGTCAGAACGCTGCCATTTGGGGAGGGCGGGGGGGCGGGGAAGAGGAGGCTTTGTAGGTTGAATGTTTTGCATGCTGTCACTGTTGCTGTAACTGCTTGGGAGTTTGGGGAGGGGAGAATCAGCCATCTGCACAGGCTCCCCCTGACTCGGTTTCAGCCTGGTATTCAAAGTTGCAGCGCCTCTTCTCACCATCCCGCCTCGGAGTTTCCAAAACACCTTTGTGGCATTTTATTGGCTGCAGATGGACACGGAGTATGGGGGGGGGGAAGGGGGTTAAAGGGAAAATTTAGCCTAAGGCTTGGAGCCTGACTTCTCTGCAATCACTTTCTCTCTCTCCTTTTCAAATGCAAACTGCTGCAAGAGTTTTACTTTCTTGAGAAGGCAGCTGAAGCAGGTCTTTACAATACTGAACGTTAGAAATCAAATGCAGTTTTTGAATGGGAAAATAACCAGCCGAAAAAGATCTGGAAGCCCAGCTAATTGCAAACTTCAAACCAGCAGCCCTGATAAGGCTGCAAATGGGCAAATGCAAACAGAACAAATTCCGAAATTATAGGGCTTAATCATCCCACTTAACTTTGTATTGATAACTCCTAGTTTGGGTGAGTGTCCATTCAACTGTAAAGGATTCAAACTGGCTGGAATAGATGACCTTGAGAGGAGCCACAAGAAAAACTGGGGCAAGACTGAAGGGCGCTCTTCAAGTACCTAACAGGATGTCAGTACCAAAAGGTGATCGAGATCTATTTTCTACTCTAAGAGAGGACGGAAGATGGAATAATGGACTGAGGTTGCTGAGAGGCAGATTCCAGTTGAATATTTGGAAAAAAAAGATCCTCACAGGAAGCGTTCTTCAGGGGAACCAATTCCCCTCAACCAAATCGACCGTCCACACTGGGGAGAGGAGTGGGCTAAAGGCAGGGGCATGCCGACCTTCCCCGTATTCCCTTTGCAGTCCAAGGGTCCAAGATAATGGACCCACAGAGAAGCTACTTGCCGGCTTCAGGAGAATGAAGGACTGGGCCAGGAGGTTGCTCAGAAAGTGATCGTGGGCCAGTCGGATGCTCTCAAAGTCACGGGTGGAGTTGATCTGCTGCAGGAGCTGGGAGAACTGAGACTCGAGGACATCCACCTGAAAGAAAACATTACTTTTAACGCCTACGGTCAAGGAAAAGTAGAGGAAACCCTTGTAAGAAGCAGCTGGCAGCCGAAAAAGCGGAGAAGAAAACAGCTGAGCTGTTTGGCCCTTTTTCAGCCGCCCCGGCAAACACTTACTTGCAGGTAATATTGCAAATTGTCCACGAGGAAAGTCATGTGATGGCGCAGCCGCCACTTGATGGCATCCGTCCGCCTGGATTCCAGGCACTTGCACCGCATCTGCAGAGCCCAGCAGTGCTGCAGCTCAGCCTGGACTCGTCTCACACTCAGCAGGTATTTGAAGACCACGTTGTACCTGCAGCCAAGAGTCGGCTGGGCTTAGCCCTGGGCCAGGAAGCCCCCAGGACTCCAGCAGCAGAAGCCCCCTCCCCCTTCCCACCGACCCAGAGGAGGCAGCCCTCACTTTTCCAGGACGGCCGGAGTGAAGAGGATGTGCAGAGGCCACTGGACTTTGTAGGAGAGCCCCAAGGCAGCCCAGCCGGATGTGGGGGACTCG